CATTTCTATGAGGTCAAATTTTAGCTTCCACATTTAAATGAGAGCATGATATTTCTCTTTCTGTGTCTTACTTATTTCACAATGTCTTTTACTTCCATCCATGTTACCACAAATGACAGAATTTCATTCTTTTTATGACTAAATAATATAGCATTGAAGGACTTAAAGCTGTACTATCTCAAAATTTACCAAATTGGTATGTTGATTTTTTTTCAAGCTGAAATCACTTGAGGGACAGTAACTTTGGAGAGGGCCATTTGACCTATTCTTTCCCTGACTGCAACAAGATTCTCTTGAAAGGGCTTTCCTTCACATACCAAGGCTGGAAAATAGCCTTGATCACTAAAAGCTGGTAATGGGGCTACAATAAACCTAAATAAGCAAACTTATTACCTTATGTCCCACCAGCTTCTGCATCCCCTCAACCCCCTTTATCTTTTAGCTACATCCTTAGCATTGACTGCCCTAGCCAGAGTTCCATCTTCCCTGTCATCCTTCACAAATTTATTATTCATTGTCTAAAAAGTATAAAAGTATCATACTTTGCTCATTTCTTGAAACTTCACTCTTTTGTAAAGATGTATATATATGTAAATTTAATAAAACTTTTTTGCTTTTCTCTTGTTAATCCACTTTTTTTTAATTGGATTCCTAGATATATCCAAAGAGTCCACATAGGCACTAAGGAGGGTAGAGGAAATCTCTCTCACACCTACAGTGTATATATACTACATTTTCTTTATCCATTCATCCATCAGTCAGATTTTGTTTTTTAAAGGTAGTTTAGAGGCATTTCTGATTATTATAATAGATTTTATCTTGAAGGCAAAATATATTGAACTCATAGGGAATCTTTGATCAAAATGGAAAGATTAACTTTGATCTTATCTATTATCTTTGAACATAATTCCCTGCTTTGGACTGCTGATATGAAACAGCTTGGATTTTTTTTTTATTCATAATGTAAATACTACTTTGCACCTGATTTTTAGATTCCATTGAAGTCATGGAGACTTGTGCTTTTCATTTTTAGGTGAAATGTGGACCAGATAAATAGATAAAGGCTCAGTGAAGCCATGAACTTCAATTTCTGGCAACATTTTCAACTTGGTTTTCTATAACTGGACCCTTGTAAGAGAAAGAATTCTGTAATCATTTGAGAATAATCATGGGTGTGTAAATGAAATTACCACATCAAAATCAAGCATAACTTGGCCAGAGTCCTGTAGGAAGTGCCACATATACTATAAGGAGAGTCTCCAGCTTTGACCCTAAGGAGGCAAACCCAGAACTCAACTATTCTGGGATGCAGTTCAGAGAGTTCTTTGAAATCTCCTTCTTTAGCTACAAAATGCATGCTCATTTTACATTTAACTTTATGTTTTTAGGTCTATTTTTTAAAATAAAAAGCTTTACTTAAAATTTTGAGTAAAATTGATGCTTCAAGGCAGACACTCTTCCCCCTGGGCACAACCACCTACCTCTAGGAATGAAAGTGCCCATCTGAGAAGTCCTGGGAGGCTGGAAGGTGGAAGAAGTAGGCCATCATGCATATATGACTGAGTGATTAGACACAGTTGAGTATTTTTAGAAACAGCCTCATCTTTCATGCAGTGATATTGTGAAAAGAAAAGGTAGAATCTGAATAATGTGGTAGAGAGCAAAGGCTAAAGTGGCCTTGTCAACAGAGCTAAAAGTCTCCCTACTGTTGAAACAGAAGTCTCCCCCTCCACCCGCCACTAGAGTTGAAAGCCCTGATAGCAACTCTGCTTTGCTGAAACGCATTTTGATGTTTGTTCCAAAGCCCTGCGAATTCATACTCAAAACTTTTACAAGACAGCATGAGAATAGGAGTAAGAGAGATGCATCTGATTTAACCCCAAAGGCCTTAATTCAACTCAAAGATCCTTGCCAATACCCTAGGGAATCATCTGCACACACCAACAGGCTTGGTTAGGAATCTGCTAAGCCATTTGCCAAGTAGGCTTTGTTGTGGAAACATTTATGAGCGACTGCCAGAGCTGTGTCTGAGATGCAGGGGCAGACTGACCCAGCTCCAAGTGACTGGAATAACAATCAGACCTTGGACACAGACCAAAGGGAATGTGTCAGACCTGAGAAGACAAGCAATATCCCTACATCCCTGATGTCCCTACCTCTCTACCTCAGGTCACTTCAGGGTGAAGCTATTTTGGCTGAGCCTTCATGTCACTCTCACAGTCAACAAACCATAGTAGAGTCTGTCTGAGTGCAGCAGATTTCTCAACCTCGAACGTGCCTCTGCAGCTCAGCTCCAACAAGAAGTCGGAGTGTCCAGCCTTCCCAGGCCCGGGCAGACATTTTTACTTCCTGGAAAATAGTTGTCACAGCTACTATTGTTCTTCTTTTATATCATCAGACTGGGGCTCAGGTGATGTTGTAAACAACATTAATGAAAAGCCAAGTTTTGATAGAATTTTATGTAGTCTTAAATAATATGAGTTTCCCTTCTGAGCTTCTAAAAACTTTAATACTTTTTTTCTGTTGATAGACACAATTTTTTTTTAATTCTCTTTTAACTGATACATAAAAACAGCATGTTTATGGAGTACCCTGTGATGTTTCAAATCATTATACACTGTATAATGATCAAATCAGGATAAACACATCTATTTCCTTAGATATTTATCATTTATAGTGAGAACATGTAAAATCCTTTTTTCTAACTCTTTGAAATATACAATACATTATTATCATCTGTACTCACTCTACTGGACAGGAGCACTCCAGAACTTCTTACTTCTATCTAACTGTAACTTAGTGCCCATTGATCAACCTTTCCCCACTACTTCCTCTCTCCTGCTTTAATGCAATAAAGATTTTTAAAAAATAACAACAACAAAACAAAAAACCGTCTTTGTGCATAGCCTGAATTTCAGCCAGCAAAAGAATGCTTAAATAAAAAGAACAAAAATATGCATGCTTTTAAAAAGAAGGAATCGATATAGTGTCCTTTGTTATCATTGCACATTTAAGTTAATTTTAGCCTGGCATGATATAGGCAGTTTAATCCACACCTTTTAAAAATGTAAATTGAATCCATTCACTATAAACTTGTATTTTTACAAGGCTCTGTGAAAATGATGGTTTTTGTTGTTTCCTCAAAGAACTTATATTCTAAGAAGAAGACAGGTAAGTGTGGAAATTTTTAAGCTAGCATTAGGAACCAAAGACTTCATCAGTTCATTCTGTCTTGGTTAGGCAAGTATAGCACTGTAAGGGAGTTCATCCTGCCCAGGTCACCTATTGCCTTCGCCCAGACAGAGTTGAAAAAGAAGAAAATTACATAACATTAAGGGATTTTGAAGCCCTGATTGTTCCCTGGAGGACTGGCCATTTACAGAGTTAAAAGATTGGTCTATCCTGAGGATGTAGTCTCATTTATTTGTTGGTCATTTCTCTGTGTCAGCCAATCAATAGGAAGAAGAAACACAAATTAGAAAGGAATGGTTAGTCAGCTTTGCATCTCTGGGACCAGAATACCTGGCAAGAACAACTTAGAGGAGGAAAGATTTATTTTGGCTCATGGTTTCAGAGGATTCTGTGGTCAGCCAGCTTCAAGCAGAAACATCATGGTGGAAGAGCATGGTGGAGAAAAGCTGCTCAGTTCATGTCAGCCTGGAAGCAGAGCTGGGGAGGAGGATAGTAGCCAAATTCACCAATCCCAGCTATGTCTTACTCTGTTTCTTTATTATCAAGTGGGAGTAAGAGACAGAAACCTATTGAAGAGTTTGACAAGCTCCTATCTCACTTGATGCCAAGCCCCATTTCGTGTGCCACCCCCATTGGTTCTCTCTGCTGAGCAGCCCAGCATCACTGAGATGCACCTCACACCTAAGCCTAGCAAAATTTGCCTGCAAAGTGTAGCCAAGCTTCCAGGTCTACCAGGGATGCCTATTTTCAACAGGAGGAAGTAGCGTAAAAACCCCTTCTTATTCCCTTGAGCTGAAGCTGTGAGACCTAGCAATTTACAATCATTAATCGCAGGAGGTTTACGAGAACATTCAGTCACACCATCAAGAACACTCAGAGAAGAAACAGAATAAACCCAAACAATCTACAAAGGGACTTTGAATAAGAGATTATTGGATTTCCATTTTTCCCCTTCTTCAGTACAGATTATCTTCTTAAAAATGGATACTGTGCAGATTTACTTGATACTCAGATTTTTTAAATTTGTTTTCTGTAAACAAAACATGTTCAAAGGTATCTAGGAAGAGTTAATTCTGCTTTAGAATTAATACTTAAAATCCTTTCTGAGAAAAGTTTTCCTAGGAGAGAATGGAAACCAGGACTCTAGCAGTTTTGATTAACCAATCTACGTATATTAAACAATGACAGAAAATGAAACATTTTAGCAACCTGGTTTACAAATACCTGCTAGACTGTAGATAATCCATGTAACAATTATGTTCTGAAATTTCCCAGGAAAGCAATTAATTAAATTAGAGAGACTTCAGAGTAACTTCTTAATGCCATGTTCGGGTTCCTCCCTAATGAACAGTTTCCTGGAAATCCCTAAATAATAATAATAAGTGGAGATACAGCAGTTTAACACTGCACTTTCCTAAATGAAAACACATTATAATTACAATGGTGAACATTTATTGACCTATCATTCTACTGCCTTAGGCCCTGCCTTAATAGATACTTTTTGCAAATTTGAGTCCGAAAAGGCATTGTTTGCATAAATAGTTACAAAGGACCTATAATATCACAGTAATTATGTTTGTTGATTTCCCTGAAAAGTACCCCTCACTCCCATTCACAGATCCTCCCTTACCAGGGAAGATTAGGTTGCCAGCTGATTTTAATCAATGGTTGTCCAGTGAAATCACAATACTGCTCTCTTCCTTGTCTGTATTTGGAGAAATAACAGTGATTTAGCCTGTTTGTGTTGGAGTGTGAGTCTCTGTTTCAATGCTTATTTTGCTTGTCTCCCATTTCCCTTCTTCTTACAGATTTTTAAAAGCATTGGCTCTGATGAGACCGTCCAAGGGCAAGGAAGTCGGAGGCTGATCAGCTTTTCTCTCTCAGGTATGTGTTGTTCACCTACAAGCCTTGTGGAAAGAATGAGAATGTCAATCAAGAGTAGGAGGCCCCTTCAATTTGACTCTAACCTACAAGTTACAAGTTACTCAACCTCTCTGTTTCTTGACTTCCCCATCTGTAAAGCTAACATAAAAAGTAATCTGCTTAGTTCCCCTTGACCTAATGAAGATAATGGAGAATTCAGTAAGTAACAAATGTAAAAGCACTTTGAGGTGATGGGAATGGAAGATGCTCTTCTGCTTTTCCTCCAAGATCAAGTGGCAATAATTGAGAGTTTACAAAGGGAAAATTGGGGAGAGCCAGGGGAGAAGCAGCGAACCCTTCCTTTGTCTAATAAAACTTCCAGGGGACCCCAGTTAATAAAACAGATAAAACCATTTCAAAAAGCACGTTCATGGAAAAAGAAGTGGAATCCAGATAAATTCTTCTAATTTAGTTCGTAGTATTTTAGCTAATAGTTGATTTAGTTAATTTTTAGTTTTTGTGAATGGACTATGGTTCTATACTATGTTAACAGTGGGGAAAACTAGATAAAGGATGGGTAGGGTATCTGTGCATTATCTTTGCAACTCTTCTATAAATCTGAAATCATTTCAAAATTAAAAGTTTAAAAGAAGCCCTGAGCAACTTTGTTTAAAATGATATATGAGGCTCAAGACTTCGAATACTCCATTCCAACTCAGTGGGCTTTAAGAGAACAAAATGCCATGAAGCCCAGGGACTCCGTGGAGCACAATTTGAAAACTACAACCTTAACTTGTCAAACCAACAAATGTTACAGACCATGAATGTCAGAGATCAGAGAATAGAATAAACATAAAGTGCTTGAATACTTTATGCTTGAGCCTCCTTGGGAGATGGACAGCAATCTGGGGCTTTTCAAATCAAAGTAAGCCCAGTAGAGCAAATGAGTGTCTAAAGATCCATTAACAATATTAGCATGTGTCTGCCCAGGTTGAAAAAGTGAGGGGAAAAAAGAACTCAAAAATTTGGTTATTACTAGATTAAATCAGACAACTTGTGACTTGTCATTGTCATGTTCTTGTTAAAATGCTCGAGAAACAACAATTATTAGTGCAATCTCCAAAAAAAAAAAAGTAGGAATAAGGAATCCTACACAATTGTGTACAAGAAACCAAGAGGAATTTTCCATAACCAAAGCTCCAGTGACGTCCTATAGCCCAAGAGGCATGCCATGCAGGGCAGCAGAGCAGGAATAGGGAAGAGACAAAGTCTCAATTCCTTTGTCCCCATTTTGCTTCTGACTTGCAGACCTGAGCTCACGGACCTTCCAGAGGAAATAAAACCCTTCCACTCCAACATGCTTCACAGACCTGATAAGATATCAATGGGGGCTTATCTCCAATAGTCTCACAATATATTATTTTTCTTAAACTTAATCCAAAACAGTTCCCAGCAATGAAATGTGACTGGTGACATAAAGTTGGTAGCTAAAGGAGAAAGCCTGAAATGGTAATGAAGCTCTAACACTCAGTAGGTATATATGCATCTGTGTTGCCGCAGTCTGGCTGGGCACAAGATCACGAGCCACTCACAGCTTTGTAGATTCAAACAGCAATTCTTTATTCCCGAACTCACACCGGCCTCTACACACATTCTGGGGAAATCCAAGTTCTGCCGCTCCCGAACTCACGTACGTCACCAGGCTTTTTATCCCAAAAACTTTCTGAATTCCACGAGAACTCAACGGGAACTCAGGCAGCAGGATACGCTCTATTCCCAGCAGGAATAATCTTAAACCTGGAACTGCCCTAAACCCAGATTGTCTTAAACCGGGAACGCCCTAAACCCAAATTGTTCTAAACCGGGATACTTCCTAAAACCTGCAGGATACACCCTAAACCTGGATCCACCCTGGTCCTTGAACAGGGTCACCTTTCTCAAACATACATGCAATGTCACAGCGAATGTCCAAGGCAAGTCCATTTCCACGAGTCCTTCCTCTAAGCAACATGGGGCACGCTGGCAAGGAAATTTCGATGCGTCATTCCTACTTGGCAATGGCCCTCAGCATTGTGTGTTTATTTCACTATGTTTGTATAGGGAAAAAAATGCTGCTGGAAGTATCAAAATGAATTCTATGATTCAGAGAAAGACAATATAGAAAGATCAGCTAACCTATAGCTAAGCAAAATCTGTGAAACATCAAAAAATGACTAGATGCTGGTCATGTCTGAGTAGTTGGATTCATTTATTACAAGGACTTCTCACCAAAAAGCAATTTAGTATATACACTAGTAAATGCTCCAAATATATGGAATCAAATGTCCCATAACATATGCTAGTAAATTTTCCAAAAATAGAGGGATGTGTCTCCAGATAGACTCATCCATCCATGTTTGTAATCAGAAAATATTCCAAAATTTGAAAATATTTTTCCACATTTTAGATGGACTTTTCTCTTTCTATAATGCCCGATATGCTATTTAACCTCATTAAAACATACTTCAATTAAAACATTGCTCTATTTTATAGATTTCCAGGCGATGGGGTTGAAGAAAGGGATGTTTTTCAACCCAGACCCTTATCTGAAGATTTCTATTCAGCCTGGGAAGCACAGCATCTTCCCTGCCCTTCCTCACCATGGACAGGAGAGGAGATCCAAGATCATAGGCAACACAGTGAACCCCATCTGGCAGGCGGAAGTAAGTGCCAGGGGCCCTAAAAAGAGGTCTAAGGAACATAGCCAAGTGACTGACCCTAACCTTAAAGCTTATGTGATTTTCTCTTCTTTCATGGGGCCTTAGGTTCTGGGGGTATCCTCCTGGCTCTGAGACTTCTGGTCTTGGGAAGGAGCTGCGTTCTCTGTAGATTGCTGCTCTTAGGGATCTAATCAAGGCTGTCCATTATAGCTGCTCTCAGTAACCTCTGATTCAGAACCTGTGCCTGCAAGCAGGATACACTTTCTCTCTGCCCTTTGTGTGGGAGAAGGAAGAAAAGTGTATTCAGCTGAGACTTGCAGTTTCTCACAGCCCTTCCCATGCATGTGGTCTTCAAGCAAGAATGCCCAGTGGCATATATAGCCCTCTAAACCAGTTGCACAGATCCTAAAATTATCAGGTTCTTGAGACCGGTAAATTAATGAGTCCTAGAGTATTCCTGATTGTGTTACATATCATATTGCTTGATTTAAACATATAAAATCTAATCACTTATCCATCTTGGTGGTCTGAACAGTTCCAGGCAGATTGTTAAGAGTGGTGAACAGTTTGATTCATCTGATAAGGTGCTTCTCTACTTCTGAATGTGTCTCCTCTACCTGCCAGGAGATAGGGGATTCCTCAACAAAGTCACACATCAGACTTGACTGTATAATGACTAAGTCCTCTCCTAGAGAACATGCAGAGAGTTGTCACAACCCATTTGGCTGCCTAGCTCTCAGGCTTCAGCAAACTGTGTGGATGAAGGAGCAGGGAGGCTCCAGGAAAGACAGTGGATAGAGTATAAGGCAGAGGTCAAAAGTACAGAGTTTTGCCAGGCACAGTGGTACATGCCTGTAATTCTAGAGACTCAGGAGGCTGACACAGGACAATTGCAAATTCAAAGCCAGTCTCAGCAACTTAATGAGGACCTAAACAACTTCACGAGACCCTGTCTTAAAATAAAAAATAAAAAGGGTTGGGGATGTGGCTCAGTGGTTAAGTGCTCCTGGGTACCATCTCCAATACAAAAATAAATAAATAAATAAAAGTACAGCTTTTCAATCACACAGACCAAGGTTCAAATCCCAGCTTAGCCAGTTAAGTTTTGTAGATGTGAGAGACCTATGATCCTCTATTAGAGGCTTGGATTCTCCTCATCTGCCTGTGACGGATGGAGATGTGCTCCTGCTCATGGCACTTGTTTCAGATAAGATTACATCTTTTATTATTCAGAACAGACCCCCTCGGAGGTAGAACTTTCAAGCATCCTTGACAAGAAAATGTAATTAGATATTTGGGAGCAGACCTGTTTCATTGTCTCTTAAATTATACCACCTCCTTCCTCAGTTTAATGACCCCTCTCCTGGGCTTCACAGAAGAGCTCCATTAGAGCTCAGAAGTGGGCATAGGGGAAATAGAGCTGTACTTAAACGTGCTACTAGCTTTAGTTATCAACAGATTCTAAAACAGTGTCCCCAGCATGAAATAATGAATCTTAAATCATTTTTTTTCCTTTAGTCCTGGTTATTCTCACCAATTACTTCTGGTCTCTTCACTGCATTTCTAGGGATAATACAAGATGCTACAGGAATTAATGGCATATGAAAAAAAAAAAACCTTGAGCAATTTATTTAAGACACTTAGTCATGAAGGTGTTATAGTCAGTCTTAGATTATATTTGTAAAATCCACACCAACAGAATGGTTTTTGGCTAAAATAAGTCAACTAGAATCCACTTGAAATTCTGAAATTATTTCTGACTCTTTGGTTTTGCTCTCGCAGGATATTAACAATCACTCCCTTATCCTCAGCTTTGCGTATTCATTCTAGAAGAAAAACCCTTCCCAGCAGACACCTATTGCCTGCCGCATGACCACAGCAGGATGGAAAACCTGAAGTTCCACTCTCCAGACTGTGGTAGGGAAGGCAGGAGAGAAGGTAGTCAGACACAGGTGTTGAATAAACCAGTCCAGAGTGTCTGTGGTGTTCTGCATCTTCACCCCCCACTGCCTTTCACCTCAGACCCTGTGCCGAGGCCACTCTCCATGGCTGCTGTCCCAAATGTCCCAAATTTCCCAAATATGGCTTTCACACAGCCATATCTTTGGATGCTCTTTAACTCCTCTTGTGGTTTTCTAATCTTGCATCCTTAATTAACCCAACTACCAGCTTTCATGCAGCCCCAAGTCTCAGCCCACTTCCCATATGGGGCATTCTTTGACTCTCCCACCTCAGGTCTCAGGAGGACAGTGCTTCCTTGTTCAGACCTTCCTGTCACAATGCCAGATTGTCTTGTGTCTTCCTCATAAGACTTTGAACTCCTCAGGAAAAGAAATTACATCTAATTCATCTTGGCATCTCTAGTTCCTGGAAAACCTACTCATAATAGGTTGTTACCATGCCAAGAAATGTTCTGAAATCAAACCAGGTGGTTTGCCTTCAGAGCCTGATATTGACCAGTTTTGTTTGTAGGTGATTGTGAATAAATCCTGGAAGAATGTCCATCACGTAAATCAGATACTCTAAGTGGTCACCACACACACACACACACACACACACACACACACGCACTTTAATTTAGGAAACATTGGTTGAATACTGTAAGGTAGAAATAGAAGCCATTACAAGGACACAAAGATGATTGATTGATACAACCTGTCAGATTGTGGAAGAGTATATTATAATGAAATAAATACTCTAATCAAAGAATGAACAAAATGCTATAGGATACAAAGGGGAGATTGCCAAGGGCCCGAGAGAAGATGTCACAGAGGATGTGCTGCTAGACTTGGTCTTGAAAGAGGATGAGATGCTTTTCAAGGTGGAAAGGGGAGTTCCAGGCAGAAGGAACAGCATACACAAGGGTACTGAGGCATCCCACAAACACCTAAGATACCATTTAAAACTGTGTGACTTGAGCTCATGGTGTGTACGGACAGGTAATAACAGCTGGGCTGGGCTTACTGCAGTCACACACAGTCAGCGTGGATCCACTATTCCTTACACTTAAAAGTTAATGTTGGCTCCTGGGTCTTACAATGCAACTTAATGAATGAAACGATTTCCTGCTCCTACAGAATTACACAAGTCTTTAAATTTCTATGCAGGAGGGTAAGTGAGAACCAAACTGTCCCACTTTCTGTGTTTACTGACTAATCTACAAAGGATATTCAGTGAGAAATCATTGAAGTTGCAAAAATATCCCTTAATGTGCTGTTTGAATGCTAAATTTATTTCAACAGCTAATGCTGCATCAAACTCTTACACATGACTTTTTTGAATGTCTGTAACAAGTTTGAAACATTTATTTTTGCTGATTAAAACATACTCAATCTTAGAAAATTTAAAATTCCTATCAGAATTTTTAAATAAGAAGAAAAAACTAAGAGAAATACATATTAAGTGTAAATGCAAACTAAAATAAATTTTAAAAGAGACTTCCACATTGATGGATCTATCTCTTCTTTGTTATTATTACTGTAATTAGAAGCTATTTTCACCCAGGGAACACTCTTCTTGATTTTCAGGTCTGTTTACTTTCCTGGATGGATATAATGAGCACTTATAAGATTATAGTTATACAGAGAAGTTAAACAGAAACAGCAGCAAGTAAAGAGGCTAGGCTTCTACATTTGGAATACTCCTGTAGAGAGTATATTTAAACCTTCAAATAAAACAAGGAACTCCTAAACAAGAATTTTCAGAAATATCAAGTGAACTGAGTCAATATTAAACTATGGCCTGAGGCCATGGCGCTTATGAGCTTCCCCCTCATTCTCTTGGCCTCATGCATCTACTGTCCAATCTGTCCACAGAATGAGAAGAGACTGACAAGGCCTAGTTCATGGTGCTTATATTCTAATGTGAAAAAAAGACACCCCCCCCAAAAAAAATGAACAATAGAATTTCAGTGGTAGATAAGTAATCAGAAAGAAATAGCACACTGTTAAATGAGGTTTACATGACTGAGAGAGGCTTCCTTAGATAGCAGTGGTCCCAAGAGGCATTTCTGAATTGCTGTCACCTGAACTGAGAAGCCAGACTTGGAAAGAACTGGTTAGTTCTGCTTTTTGGACAGAGGACCCAGCTGGTGTGAAGGTCTGAGGGTTATGAGCTTGACACGTTGAAACAAGCAGAAAGATCATCGTGGCTAGAAAACAAGGGCTGGCAGTGGGGAACAAAATGAAGTTGGAGAAGTGCAGAAGCCAACCCACTGTAAGCCATGGAGAGGGCTTGGGGTTTCATTCTAAGGGTAATGAGAAGCCATTGCAGTGTTTTTAGTAGGGAAACATCATATTCTAATTAAAATTTTATAAAATCCTTCCCACTACTCTGTGTGAGGTGGATTATTAAAAAAAAAAAAAAACATTGGAAGCAGTTGATTTATGCTTGTGGCTCTGAGGAAGCAGCACATGGCACATTAACTCAAAAGCAACCAGAAAAGCTGGATAGAATGTCCTTAAAAAAAAAAAAAAAAAAAAAAGCATTTGTGATGACATCAGACAACGCATCAAGTCCCAGAAGGAAAGGAGTTTCAAGCAGAAAGATGCTGACAAATGAAGAGGGGTTTTGCAGTCTCACAATGCTGAAGAGACAAAATTGGAAGTTCTAGATTCTCCAAGAGACAAGTACCCAGCAAGGCCCCAGGTTCTCAGCTGGACCCCTGGCTGACTGTGGTGTAAGATCAGAGCAAATCTGTCATGGAAAACTTCAAGACAACTTACACAGCTTAGTCAGGCCCTGAATGATTAAAATTATCTGATCCCAGTGACAACAGAGACAGATCCATACACAGCTCATTACTGGAGTGATCAGAGATAGATTTTAAATATGATATTATATATTTTTAATCATAAGTTAAATATAAAAAATTAAAAGATAATTTTAAAATGCCCAACTCCCTTGAAAATTAAGTTAAACAAAATTCCTTTAAAAATCTATGGGTCTTGGAGAAACTTTGATTGGACAAAGGGGAGAGAGGGAACAGGGGGCATGGAAAAATA